TAATAAAAGCACTTTGACCTATATTGAATTTAGCAATATGAATGGATGCATTAATGGTCATCCAATTAATACCCCTACAACAATTGATTTGAAAAATAATGATAATACGGCAACAGATGGTATGAAATTGCCAATTAATTTTTCAAATAGTTCATTCAGATTATGATACATTCCACCAAGTCATGCTCCCAGCTTGTTTAACATTTGTTAGCTTAACATTTTTTAATGGAATATTTGATAATAATAATTTAATTAATTTAATGTTAAATTGACGAGATATTTCAAAATATGATAAACAGTTTTATTTTTTACGATGATTTATCAACTGACTACTAATATTTATCATCTTACTAAGAAAATATTACGAATATTAGTATTGCTTTCTCATATTCATTAATAAGCAGTGTTTGACTAATCTAAATATTCATTAATTGTCATTAATATATGTGTCAGTTGCATCAATGGAATTTGTTGACTGTTAAATGTAAATTAAGATCGATCTGTCTAATCAAACAATTCTCATTTCTACCAGCCATTTCTTTTATATATATTAGATGAATGATTTGAAGTTATGAGTAGGAAAACTTTTTGAAATCTAATCCACTGATTTAGTACTTGCTAGATTAGCATCACTTCAACTTTATGTAGCATTTGAATTACATGAATAAAGTTCCGACATTGAAGGAAAAAATAAACAAACTTATTTATTAGCAAGCACAGTACATATGTATACGGCTCGTTAGATATTCTGCTGTTGTATATCATTATCAATAATATATAAAAGAAATGGCTGGTAGAAATGAGAATTATTCTATTGATATCAATAGTTGATAATGATAACGATTATTATTGTAAAATATTCTGCTATTTTGTCACATTAAGAATTCTCCACCTACTTTGACATGTTTGCTTGCCTATTTTCTCAACAAATATATTTGATAAAATGCGTACTTAATCTGGAACATGCAATACTATCTATAATTAATTTCTCGTTTGTAATTAGTATTACTCTTCGATCCACATAATATAAAAATTCATCCTAATTTTTAGATTAAAATCATCTGTGCAATGTGCATCTCTGATAAATATAAATTGTTATTCAAAAATATTGATGTGAAAATTTAACGTATACATACGATTATCTGCAATAAATGCAAATTATTTTCGAAATGAATAAGCTGTACACATTATTGACTTAATTATTTAGCATTTTGAAATTCTGTTTATTTGAAAAGTTTAATTAATACACAAACAATCCTCCTAATTTATGACGTTTCAGTCAGCTAACAATCCTAAAAAAGAAAGTAAAAATTAAGTGATAGTGATTAAAAAAGCAAAGAATCATTATATCCTTACTGTTTTATCTTATTCTTGGTTTTTTTGTCTATCATTATATATACTTATATATTTATGTGCAGTCAATATCGTAGCGTAGTATATACGAAGCAATTGAAATATTTGTTGATACCCAAATGAAGGATATGTCTATTAATGAGTAATAACTATAAGAAAAATAAGATTCATAAAGTTGAAAATGACCAGATAACTCTTTTCTTTTTTAGGATTTCCTTTAATTTGAAAACTGATTTATCAAGAAAAATTCATTAAAAAAGCAGTGATACGGGACAGTCTCATCAATATGACAAGATAGGATGGGGTAATGTGAGTACTAATAATGAATTTATAGGTTGGGATAAAAGGTGTGCAAATGTTAGTAGTGGCTGTGAATTTGGAAAACAAATAGAGATATTTTTTTTAGGAAGTTAAAAAATATGGAATGATTTCCTTTATCACCGCTGGTGTCATCTTATTATGACATCAGTGATGATAAAGATCATTTCATAGTTTATATACTCATATATAAACTAACGAAAACTCATAAACAATTGATCATTAATAGTGTTACAACTTCAGCTTATTTCGCATTAATAATCGAAGTATGACAGTAATTAAATCTTAGTTTGTATCGAACAAAATGTGTGCGTTGACTGTTTTCAAAAATTATAATAATTTAAATTCAGAAATTTGAACTCAAAAACGAAAACCATATGAAATTTTGAGTGCAATAATCTCCAATACTACAAGCAGCGTTCCAATCATTCAATGCAGCATAATAATTCTCAAATAAATCACATACTATTCGTTACCCAATCAAACTATCTAAATTTCCTGAAATTTCTAAATTTCCTGAAATTTCTTGTTCACTCGTCAGAAGAGCGAAAAAAAATTTTTCAACTGAGAATGTTATTGTGACATGTAAAAGTGGACAAAAGATACTAACTTAATGGTACTAAAATGGTACTCGAGAAATGAAAATACGGGAATAAATGGTAAGAATAGAATGGTTAAGGAACAAATAGGACAAACGGAAGAGATCAGAAATGGGGCAAAATAAATAGTATGACATGCATATCTTCTGCGTGCAAACATGCATTCCCTTTCGCATGCATATTGCACAATATAATGAGACCAGCTATTGCAGTGATTTGTTGCACACATCGAAATGCTACTGCAATCGTTTAGACGGTTGCAATCCCAGTTAATTCACCTGTATTGTGAAGTGATGTTGCGATATGCAAGTGTTGTGCATGTTGCATGTGAGGTATGCAGGCGCTGCGCAATGTTTGGTAACTGCAAGTTCTATCAGTTATGCTTGCATAATCTTGCACTGCTAAAATGTTGAAAATTAAATCTTGTTAGAGGTAACAGTTGGTGTGTAAGATTTGAGTATAAACAATGGATGACGCTTATTTCAATGTAAGTGCATTTCAATGTAAGTGCGTGCAAGTGTAATGTGAAGCTGCGATAAATGCGTAGTTATAAATGCATGTAACATGAAACATAAAAACTAATCATATGATTAGTAATTATAGTAATTTGCAGTGTACTACTAATAGCAATAGTTGCAGTAGCCGGTAGTGGTGTGCAATATGATAAAACTAGCCAACAAACAGACTTAGTGCAGGGTGTAAGCGGCTGTGTACATAATGAGAAATGTGTGATTGTGTCTGTATATGTGCAGGTATTCCTCGAGTGACAATGTGTCATCAACAAGATGGTTTGTGCATTTTACCCTGCTATCATCCTCTTTATTTGAGATATCGTAAAGATGCGGGAGAAAAGATAGCAATTCTGCGTAACAAACAGTTTGTTTGAAAGAGTTTTTCGTGAGGAATCTCGCAAAATACAAGAGATTATCAGCGATGAATAGTAGAATTAATTATCTTCGGAAGGTCGATTTTAGTATGCATTACTTATGGATAACTGTTTCCTCAGAAATAAATTGGTGTTTATTAGTACCATAAGCCTGTAGATAAGCATTCCTACAAACTGATCAGTATAATTAGAAGTTGTAATCACCCTCGTTTTCATATCGAATGTAGGCTTATTTATAGCACGTCAAATTCTTTATGCCTGTCCGCATTTTCATATGTTATGAGGCGATTTTCATAACATATGAAATTTTTCAAGTTTTTTTTTTTTGAAATTTTTAAGTTTAATATTCTCATGAATATATTTTATGGGTATGCATTTTCTCAAAGAGTATTTTGGTAGATTTATTTACGCAGATGAAAACATAAAGCAGGTGATAGAATAGAGAGAAAAATTCTAACGATATCTAACATAGTACTATTAACTGATCGATATCGGAACCACAGTAGAGAAAACGAAAATAATCTTGCATGATCTTTAGTTTCGAAGTTAGGGTTTGGCTAACTGTTTCCCTACCTAATGATTGATGGTCGCAATTAATCTGTTTCCGGAAAGTTTGTCAACCGGTTCTATCGATCATTTGTAATCAAAATATTACGTAGCGAAAATAGCAATTAGTATTAAATAATTAGGTCGTAGAAGTAAATAGTTCTAAATAAAAAACCAACAGTGCAGCTCGATGTCGCGGAAAGTCTAGTAACGCCATTTAGAAATCATGTCATTAACTAAGCAATAAGAATATTTGTGGGTAATTTTTCCCGTCCAGCGCAGCTGAGGGAGACGTAGATCTTACCTATTTAACTTATCGTATGATATTTTTGTTGGAAGATTCCATTGGAGTAAAAAGTAATAAAATTTAAAGAAAGGTGAGACCCTTAATAAATAGTTGATATTCCAAAAGTCACATCAGTAAGAGTTTGGCAACATTCTTTATGAAATTGAAAATGAGTTATTTGCATCCTGAAAACCGAATGGGTTGTAATTATTTCTTTCCCTTTTCTTGAAAGTTAGCGTCATATTCTACGATAGCATAATGTCTTTTTACTGAGAAAGGTGCTTTTCAAAAATATTTTCAGGTAATTAAAAGGGCTTGGAATTTTTTACACACAAAATAGATTTAGCTCAAAATTATATCGCAACGAAGCAGCATATCGAATTCTGGGATCTCGTGAAAACCACCAATTGAAGTAAAAGCAAAGTAAATTTTATTACATAATGTATAAAGTAGCATAATCAAATAGTACCCTAACCAATAGATGAAAATGCAACGATTTGTTGACCTCTGTTAGTCGCGCTGATCTGCTGCTGATGCGATTGCTATATCATATGTGACATGCAGTTACACTACTGAGATTGGAGATAAATATGCGCCCTTGAAAGGCGAGGATCATTTTCTTTATCTCCAAACTTACAATTATATTATTATGTCAAACAAACATGTTTGGGAGCGGGAATTCCGTTATTTCAGCATTATTCAGAATAATTCTGAATAGATTTTTTTCCTCAATAAATATTTGATGAATGTCAAATATTATTTGGTCATTAAAAATATAACGATAAGCAAACACTTAGTAATATTAATAACCATTTTTGACTTACTTGTTACTTTTTCTCTGAAGGGTTTCGTTTAACTAGTAATTTTCAAATGCTACGTGGTTAATGAAACGTTAATGCTTTTTTCTCTTCGTCTTTTAAATTTTTTAAATGATGATATGTATTTAACAATAAATCGAAATCTTAAATCCAATAGTTTCAGAAAAATTTGTTGTTGGGAACTGGAAAATCGTATGGATGACCAAAAGCAATTGTTTTTGTTCGCATTTCCAGTTCCGAGTAATGAGGACCATTTAATCGATCGGTAATTGATTATCGTTCATAAGTGATGTTTGGCATGCTTTGGTGAATTTTAGTTTGAATATTAATGATATTTAAGCTTCATGTACAATCTCATCAAAAATAAGTATACGAGCTCATCTGAAAACTTTAGGATTTATTAATTATGGTTGTAAATGAAGGAAAACAGAAACTAATAAAATCTTTCGTCTTTTGTATTCTACAGTATAAAAGAAGCATCAAGTGCTCGGAATCATCACGGCGCTGTATCAACCGCAGCACTGGCCAACATTGATGCCGACAGTATTGCACAACTTGCCGTTGGCCCGAATCATGTGGCATTTCTATTCAGGGTATGCACATGTTACAGTTTTCTGTTTAATAGATTTATTCGAACTAAATGATATTTGAATTTTTATCTAACAAAACATGAACCTGTTATCACATGCTGTTCAGAAATCGTTTTGGTAAATTCTAATTATATTTGCAGTGTGGTCGTATTGCTCGATTGAAATACACTTTAACAACTGCTACTAGAGAAGAAAGCACCAACGATGACAAGAGCTCTGGTGGAACAAGTGGAGGTGGAGGTTCGGGAACTAATGGTAGTGGAAGCGGACCTACAACAGGTGGTAGTAGCGGTTCATCTACTGGTACTGGTTAGTTGTTCTTTTCTAATAAAAAAATAGTTGGAATGAAAGCATATTGCTGATTGGGCGAAGGCTTTTTCACTCTTTGTTAGTTTTATTTTTAAATTTAAATTGAATTATATTTTGTCTCATGTTGTTTATTGTAATTTCAGTTCTTCCATTATTTTCAGTGTTAAGTCGTGGTGCAAAAATTAGACGGGTAATGATGGCAGCGAGACGGACGGCGGGTGCGTTGGGCGAACGTGCGGGTGTGATTGTTGATCGGAGTCGACCGCTTGTCCCTCTTAGTGCCATTCCCGAAGATCTCATTGCTCAAGCCCAGGTGAATAACAGTGAAATGTGACCATTTTCGGATTCTAGAAAGAGTATATATATGAGGTATTGAAACTAAGAAATGAATGCTTTGGTGCCAATTGACTATAATTAGCCTAATATTAACTTTTTTGTTTAAGGTTGTTTTACAAGGGAAGTCACGTGAAGTTATTGTACGAGAGCTTCAGCGAACGAATCTCAATGTAAACGAAGCTGTAAATAATTTGCTCAGCCGTGATGATGAAGAAGGTAACTATCTCTTCCAAAGTTATTTAGAATTCATGAGAAAGAATAATTCCTGAACCTCGATATTTAAATGTGTACGATTGTACGATTGCTTTCAGGAGATGAAATGGATGAAGGTTCTGAAGCTTATCTTCCCGAAGAGCTTCTGTCATTGTTGGATGCCGGATTGCGAAGTGATTCACATGGGAGTGCCGTAATTGATGGGGATAATTTATATGCAAGTGGCGAAGGTTTCGATTATGTTGTGTCAAGGGATATTGCTCGAAGGCGAATAGATAAAGGTCGGTGTCTACAAGTTTCCAGTGTTTGGTAGAAAAAATAATATATTGTGCACTAATTTCTTTGATTCTTTGTGTTTTTCTGCGTTGTTTTTCTTTCAGATAAAAAACGAGATTTTTTTTCAGATAAAAAAAATGACAAAACAAAAGAATTTTCTTCAGAAACGTACACACGCTTAAAATATGATGAAAAATTGCAGTATTGGGGTAAAGAAACGGTGAGTTTGTTTTTATCCAGATCTGAAATTAAGAAGAATACTCCATCTAAAAACTTGAAGTTGTTTGAGAAAGATCCTGTTATTATTATTTGGCACAAGCAGTTAAACTTTTGAACTACTTCGATGCTTGATATTGTAAAACACGTGGAAATAAATTCTAGAAGTATTTTCTGGGTTGAAATTGTGTCATCCTCAGATAAAGCGTTTCACTCTTTTTTGATTCACAGCAATTTTGTTATTGATTTATTGTCGACATCTTCGATTGGTTTTTTTAACTACAGGATATGTTCCCGACGGGTGTAACGAAGTTTGTGAAAATAGCTGCTATGAGTAGTGAATTAATCGCGTTAGGTGATAATGGATTTTTCTACAGTTGGTCATGGAAGAATGATGGGCATGGTTCAATGACCGCTCATCCCTTTGGAACCAAACTTCTGACTGGTGTAAGTTTTCGTTTGGCTGTGTTCTTTCTTCATTGACTTTTATTAATGAAGTTTTTTATTTTTAATATAAGATTGTAGAAACTATTACTGGTATGTAACTCGCGATTTAATTCCAGGCACCAGATGAAGAAAAATTTATAGATGTAGTATCATGTGCATATCGTGCATGTGTTGTAACAAGTATGAATAGGGTAGCATCATTTATGGATGGCGAAGCATGCGGTATGAAGATATCCAATATGTTATTAACACCGTTGATGGAAATACCGGATGGCGAGAAATACTCATCACTATACGTGTGTCCGATGTACTGTCTACTAAAAACTCAGTCGAATACCTGTTATTGGTGGTGTGTATTTTTTTGACCTGTTATTTATTATATATTTTTATTTTTGTCCTTTGTGAATTTAATAGCTTTAATAAGTTTAAATCCATTAAAACGTACATTTGATTATTATGGGTTAGTATGAATTCTTTTTTGTAGGGGTATTTATCCATTTAATGAAAGACGAAAATTATGGGAACGAATGCGTTCAAAATCACGTCGCAATTCAAACCTTGCATCACCTGAAGTGGTTGAAGGTTGCGAAGTTCGGACGAAATCGCATCCTATATACACGACGGGTTCAATTGCCTTGAATTTCAGCTCTGGAACACCAATGGTTGGAGTTTATTTTTGAAAAACTGTCCTTAGTATGAAGACATTCCTCTTAAGCATCTTATAAATAATTTTGCTTGAAGGTTGGCGCTTTAATGGAATCAGCTTGGACGCTGTCTGAATTATGTAGGTTTCGAGTAATGACACCAGCACAGCACGATGAGACCAGTGATGATGACGGTTCGTGCCTCAATTCTTCTGCGCATCAATCGGCTGATAAAAAAGGCTCCTTGAATCGTGAGTTAATTAGAATGCATCTTAGCTGCCCTTTGTCCCCAAATTCTTGTATTCGTTGTGCTTGTGTTCCGATGACAATTGAAAAAGAAGGAACCGAGTTAATTGGTCGATTCAAGTTGGTGCAAATCTACGATATACGTGTTTTGACATTATGTGAATGGAAATGTCTGTGAGTTTTTTCAAAACGAAAACACTTATAAAAGCTGTAACACCAAAGTGAAGCGACAGTTTTTGTGGGGTTTTTATATGCCTAGTTCACTCTCCACGCTTCTTAGCTGCATTCTAATTTGCCATGTAGTAGTAGCCTTTTTCTTTAAAAACAAAAACAAATTAATATTTCTTATCAGTTGAACTCTTAGATTGTATGATGCCGTTTAGACTTGCACTTTTCTCGCTTCACTTTCCAGTATTTTGGAAAACATATTTTTTACGGAATCACTGGTTTCATTTGCACATCACATTTTATTGTCTGCTGTATTCGTTTGGTAATATTTTACGTATTCATTGTGAAATTTTGTAGTATCAAATTTCTGTTTTCGCTAATCCATATTTTTAGAATATGGTAAAAGACCACGTGAGGAACAGAAAGGAAATACTTACCGAGAGACAGCATGGGCTCTTAATGAAGTAATATTCATTCACAAAGAAACCTCACAGGACACAGCCATTGTTAAAATTGTATGTTTTTTTCAAAACGAAAATTGGTAATATCTTCTGTAGGTTTTTTATCTACTGCTCCATACTGTTGTATAGCGGAAACTTATTAATCTTATTGAATTCTGGAGCTGATTATGCAAAAGTTTTTTCAGGTTGATGGAGCTTACTGTGGAATTATATATAGACCAGCGGTCGCTGGTGATGATGGTGGTACAGTTAGTCAGAGTCAAGATGCATGCGATTTAGGAAAAATTCGTTTGATGCGCAAAGACGATCTTGTTGTTGTAACGCCAAATAGTAGAATACCTCGTTGTCCTGAGAATTTCCAAAAGCACATACAAAAAATACAGTTGCCGGGTGGTATATCAATGAAAAAAATACATTCCTTGGCTGTAGACAATACTGGTTTGTTGATTTTCAAAACTCAAGTTCATATGAGATGCTTTTCAGTATGCTTGTAGATAAGAGTGTAGTGTTTCCAATTAGAGTATCTGTTATTTCTTAAAATAACATGTCGAAGGTGATAAATGATTCCTGAATCTGACAGTTAGAGAAATCGGGCTGGCTGAGCTGTTATTTAGTATCAACGTTCATATAATCTCGTTATGTATTTAATTTCAAGTATCATTCAGGTTTGCGATTGTTGATTGAAAAACGAGGACGGCTTCATTTGGTTCGTGTCAGTGTGTTTGGTAAAATACAAAGTGATCACGTTCTGCCAGTGAACGTTTCGGCAGTATGCAACGCTGGATTGCATTTACCACGACTTGAGAATTATGGGGATGTAAGTTAATTTTTATTTGAGTACAATTTAGTTTTCCATGCGGTATTTCCAAATTTGTCTCGATCAAAACTTGTGATTTATACGTCATTTTAAATTTAGGAAATGATTATGATGATAAGCGACAGTAACGGTTCGATAATACCCATGGTGCGTGATGCAACGGGCGGGTTTCGTGAGCCAGTTTATTGTGCTTTACCCAAAATACATAATTTTGCAATTGGTTTAAGGCCATTGGATTCTGGAGATAATGAAAATGCTTCAGCAACTGCCAATGATGACTGTATGATTTTAGTAAAGTTATGTAAGATTCGCAACATGTTAAAAGTTAAATGAACTTTTTGATGCTTTTTTGTATGTCCACTTTCTCAATTCTTTCTCTGAGGACATTGAATAAACATCTCTGATAGCGCTTTTTCCAGCGTCATCTACATCACGAAATGCAAATCGTACTGGAGTCATGGTAACTTTAATTGCTCCGTCTCCTTCAACTACTCGTCCTCGAATACCATCTCTGCTACAGACTGTTCTGTATTGCGATCTGCAAGGCGTGGATTTGGTGCTTGATGCACTTTCGAAGGAGTCAGGTAGCTTTATTAGACTCTTTTTTGTCTGTAAATTTTTAGAAATTTCAATTTGATTGCCGTTTGAGTTAGAATATTCTGTTTGTAATCACGGTCTCAAAATAAGAGAGAATCGTCTACTGCATTCCATTTATCGAATTGTGACTAGCATGCTTTTGATATATCCTTGTTTTTGCTTAAATATCTTTGGTGATTACTGTTTTTAAATAACACAATGTTTTAAAATCGATAATTTATAAGTCATTTCTAGACCGGGAAATTGTGAAAGCCGAAATCTTGAGCGCTCGTGCAGATGGGAATCGAACCATTCTTCATGCGGCAGTCATGAACAGTTTTGCGATGACTAACAAAGAAGAGGCAGACACAATGGAAATTTCAGTTGATACGGAAAATAAGCCTTTACAGCGTTTAACAGGTAGATAACTCTTTTCTTTTTTTAAACAGGGCTTCATGGAAGGAACCATGATTTTCCTTGATAGATGACCACATACGGTAAGTAATATTTTTTAAATTTTTGTCAAATGGAAATTCAAACGATAAATAGCAGTATATTTGTGTTTCTCTATTTGAAATTTTGATTACAGCTGAGGATATGTCAGCTGCTGAAGAAACTCGTGCCGCATTTGATAGCCGTTGGCAGCGTATGTTGAGACGTCATGGAGCTAATGCGGAGTTTGCTTTTATGCTTTTTTTTTCTTGGATTATAACATATTCAAATTTCCTAATTTTGCTTTCGCTCATAAGATAATATTATCAAAAATGACATTTCAGGGAAGAAATGCTAATACGAGAATTGATGGCAAATAATCCATTACGAAGACCAGGTCATGATGTTGGTAATATGGAAGATGGTGAGATTTTTTATGATCAGGAGTAAACTCTCGCTATATTTACTTCGCTTAGATAATTTTTTAAGATGTTCAATCATATGTGAACTTATATTCACTAATGCTTTTATTACTTCGTGAATTTTTTTTCAGTGCTGGCAGATTTTGCGAGAAGCTTAAAAGATGCGAAAAAGTCATCTGTTTTCATAGACGATATGAAAGAAGAAGGTCATTTTTATATATTATTAACTTTTCGGGCATATTTCAGCTTCTGTTCTTAATGCTTAGATTTCCACTGAAATCTGTGTGTTTTGTTGTTTTATTTTAATATATTGGACAGCTAAAAAATCGATAAATTTGACTCATGTTATACAAAAAAAATTATTCAGCATCGATGCCAATTATTGTTAATGCGAACAATGAACCGAAGGTACGACAATGCAACTCAATAGAAATTGTGAAGACTCTCTGCTACAACTCTACCGTGGCACCATATCTTCTTGAATTGCTGACAACGAAGTAATTTTATAATTATTTTATATTGTTGTCAACAACAGTAATAAGAACGTATCAGTATCTGTAAAGTGAACCAAGCTAAATATAAAAGTCTTCTCGACTGTCAACTATTGTAGGAATTTAGTTTTAAAATGGTGAAAAATTAGTTTTGCTGGTTATATGAATATTTGGTCGAGTTGAAATAAACAGCTAAATGGCTAAGATTTTTTTATGTGGAGCAGTTTCTAGCATGAAAAGATCAGAAATTCGAGTGATTATCTGTGAAGCATTTTATTACCTGTTGCGCTGTTCAGAGAAGCATTTTATGACCACATTGTTGGAGAAATAAAAGAAAACTGATAGCTAACTACAAGCATGTATGCCTGCATTGCATATCTCAGCACCATAATTCATGCGAATTACGCAACATGAAAATTTGCTTAATGTATCTTTTGTTGTCCGATGTTGAGCAAAAGTGATTTCTTGGTTTCAATTTCAGAGATATTAATGGACATACACCTTTCATGTGCGCTGTTAACTACAGAGCATATACGGCCGCTTTCATTCTCTGGCTTGCTGCTGAAGAATTGCAGAAAGAAGCGCAGATAACTAGTTAGTATCATATTTTTAATGTAATTCATGGCAAATTACAAGAGCACAATTACATATATATCAACCTTTGTTACTAAAATCGTAGTCATTAAATTAAATTAGTTTTGCAGATGTTCAAAGCAAGAGACAATCAGCTGATGCGATTTTAAGTTCCATCATATATCCACTAGGAAGTAGACCGGATGATTCACCTTTATTCATGCTTTGTATGAATGATACTTGTAGCTTTACGTGGACCGGTGATGAACATATCAATCAGGTTGAACAAATGATTATTTTTAATCAGAAATAAATTGGTTCATTCTGTTTTATTCTTTGATATTTCTTTCAAAGAATAAAACAAAATGCTCTTTGTACCATTAATTGTGATATTAGTTAATTCCAAGCCGAGATTACAGTACCATTCAGAAATGAGTTCGATTAATTCTTTTTCTTTTCTAT